TCTGCAGAAGGCTATATGCCATTCTACCCAGGGGAAGTAATAGTGTTTCAGGTTTCTGCCTAATGTGGTAAAGCCAAACAAGGAAGTCCTCATATTTCCACTGAGCAAGCAAGAAAAAAATGTTCTCCACTGTAACCATGTGCATCAGTTTCTTTTTGCTACTGTAACAACAGAAATTTATCTTACACAATTCCAGAAGTCCAAAATGGTCTCACTGGGTGCAACAGAATGAGTGGTTGTGTCTCCCCAAAGTTCAGTGCTGAAACTCTAATCCTGATGAGATGGTAACTGGAGGTGGGACCTTTAGGAATTAATTAGGTTAGGAGGGTAGAGCCCTCATGAATGGAATTAGTGCAGTGCTCGTAAGAAAAAGCCAGAAAGCTAGCTAGTTCTCTTTTTACTATGGAAAGTTATAATGAGAAGTCGGCTGTCCACAACCTAAAAGAGGACTCATACCAGAAGCCAACCATGCTAGCACCCTGATCTTAGACTTCCAGCCTCCAGAAGTATGAGAAGTAAATATTTCTTGTATAAGCCACACAATCTATGGTAATTTGTTACACAGCACGAACTGCCTAAGACACTGGGCAAAAATCAAAGTGCAGGCAGAGCTGTGTTCCTTCTGACAGACCCAGAGGAGAAGCCTTCCCCAGCTTCTAGAGGTTGCCTCCTTCCAGTAAATGCATGACTCTGACCTCTGCTTTTACTGGATAATCCAGGATTAAGTTCCCCATTATAACATCCTTAACTTAGTCATAGCTGCAAAGTCCTTTTGCCTTGTACAGTGCTAGGGGTTCGCACACAAAGCATAGATAGAGCTGATACGCATTCAAAGTAGAGATATACCAGGCTGAGCTGCTGAGCTGCTGGGCCGTACACCAGGAGAACGAGAAGGTGTTAGCCTGCTGAGCTAGCAACTAAACTGGTGATAGGGAGTCCTAGGTCGTGCTAGAGGAAGCAGACTTTTCTGGAAGCTCTGCTGTTCAAGATTAATGGTCAGTACTTTAAGAGAATTTTAAATATTGACAACTAATAAGTGGCAGGGCCATGAGACAAATCGGGACCTCTCTGATGCCCATGTGTGTTCTTTTAATCCCTATGATAGACTCTCACATCTACCTTAACTTGAGGCTGGAAATTTTCTGTAGTAGAACCAAGACATAAAAGAGCTGCATCCCCTGCTCAGAGCCTCTGGGTCAAGGAAGAACCCGACGACAGAGAGCAGAGCAGAACAGAATGTAGGCTCTATGCCCAGGCTAAATGCTTTCACATTTGTCTTTGGGTAAAGGAACTGCAAGTATGAACTTCCTGGCGCATCTTTAAGAGAGCTACTTTATAGACGTAAGTCTGGGTTAACACATGCAGCTCTGTGTTAATTCAGTCTGGGTAAACGTGTTTTCATGAACTGTTTTTATGTCCTCGATGTTCTTTCCCAGACACTACCTGAGAAGTGAATAAATGATGGTGCCCAGAGTGTTCCAAGTCGAGTCAGCTGTCCTCCTCAGAAGTTTGGTTTTCCAGGGTTTTCTTCTATCTAGCGAGCTATTTCTCATTACACAAAGGTCACACCTGAGTCAACACATTTGTTACATGAACTTCCCAGGGATGGTTCCATGGTATATATAGTTTAATAAAATTTGTATTTTTCTATGTAATGTTCCAGACAGTAAATTCCCTTTCCCAAGAATTCCTGAGACTAGGTGAAAAGCCAGAGAAGGTTCTAGCACATGGCTTGCACGTATTAGATGTTCATTAAGTAACTGGTGACCAACCCATGAACGTATACACAAAGGCCTAAATGAACTCTCTTGCCACAAGGTCAATCTGAAAAGTTTGCTTTATTGTAAAATGTCATTTAACTCCTCTCAACCAACATTAACATGTAAATTGCATAGAAAGAGAGAATTCCTTAGTATCCTTAGTATGCAAAACTTTTCAACTTTCATGCATTCCAGTCAGGATATTACAGTGGTTGAAAGGTCTTGGAGACATTAAGACATGAGTTTGAATTCTGGTCCTATTATTTGCTAGTTATGTGACCTTGAAGAAGTTGCTTAACCTTTTTAGCTTCCTTTTCTTCATCTCTAATGGTAGGATAATAAAATTGAACTTGTACAGGTGTTCTGAGCATTTAATGACAACATATGGAAAATGTTCAACAGTTCCTGGTGCCTTGATGACAAATGATGGTGAAGGGTGATGATGATGACACGTCTAGATCCTCAAGGGCAGACAGATTCTCTGCCATGTGAGGTCCATCTGTCCTAGGGACATGTTCATCAGTCATGAGGCTCTCTGATTCTCTAGGGTAGCTGCCTATCTTCTCATGCAACATGCACTCAATCTCAGACAGCCTAGCTCACTTGCTTATATTTTGCATGATTATAATTTGACCGTAACTGGCTGACTAGCAGTGCTGCAGGCTACCTAGTCCTATCCCCTCAACACCCGCCCCCCACCACCACCACCAGAGTTTGGGGCATAGCCCCAAGGCATGATGGGTTGCAAATGGGAGGGAGAGCCTAGGGCTTTCAACTGATGTGAGTGAGCCATCTCTGCTTTCCTTGTCATCTTTATTCTTTTTTATCCCCAGAGCTCCTTCTCCGTTTTCTCTTTTTATTTGCCTCAAGGTTTGATCTACGTGGTCCTTCTTAGGGACTCAAAGCCTTCTCTATGTAGATCTTAATTATACTATAGATTATTACACAGGAATTCCATTCAAAATAAACTGTTGGGTGCATAAAAAAAGCAAAGCAATACACAAAATTCAATCTGATGTTCAGTAATGCAGGTGTAGTCATGAAAATCATTACTCTATTTTAAGACAAAGATTTTTCACCATGCCATTTTGTCATTCCAACATAGGGTTGTCCTTTGAATTCATATTTAAGTAACTATGGGATATTTACCTTAAATAACTATGGGATACACAGGGCTGTTCCTGCTAATAGAGAAGACAGGAAAATATGAATTTGGGTTTATCAATAACTTCCCTAGAAACTTAAAGCCGTGCCTTGGGTGGCTGCCCTCCTGGAATGAAAAGCCTGCTGAGCATTTCCTGAGGGAGATTCCTAAGTTCTGCTTGAGTACCCAAGAGAAGAGAGTCAGGAATGGGATCACATGATCCTACCCAGACACACTCTGTCAGCCTGGTCCAGAACGGTATGCTTTGATGACAGCGTTACTTAGAGGAAAGGTAAATTTTCATGACTTTATTCTCACAGCTTCCCACAATTAAAAGGAACATAAGACAATCAGGCATGTGAACATGCAAAGACTAGACAATATTTAGAAATCACCTCTATCTTATCTAAGTTCACTAGAAAGCAATTTGGCAGGTAAAAAAAATCTTTTTCATGTGATTTACACACCTGATCAAAAAAACATGACTTAAGAGCTTCCCCTTTCCTACTGTGTGATTTATTTTCTCCTAAAACACCCATATTACAAACACTATCACAAATGCCAACCCTTAGGAATAAAGGTAGGAAAAAGAAAAATGTTTGGTCTAAATAAAAGCCCTAGAAAACTATGAATAAACTATCAATACCAACTGCTAATTCTTTTGCAACTATGTGGGCCATTGTTTGAAATTCTCTAGCATTCCACTTTTTTTTTTCTTTTGGAAAGTAAAAAAAAAAAAAAAAAGGCAGATAAGGTCTATATAATTTTAGCAAGACAGTCAATCTTTCCAGGCAAGGTCTGGCATAACTAGATAAGATCAGGAAACTGTATTATTAGGAAAAATGCTAGTTCAAAAATATGAATGTAATGCAAGGTATCTTCTACAGCCTTCAATCTAATCTTTCAGTATAGGTTTACAGTTTCACTTATGGCCTGTATGGGATAGAATTCAGTGAACTTCTAAATATGCCCATTCTCTTTTTTTGAACTATGCATTAATGACTGTTTGCCTTTAGAAAGCTATTCTTTTCTGTGGAAAGCTAACCAACACACCCTATTTTTTATTCCTACTTTGCGAATCCTCCTACGAAACAGAACAGGTTATGAAACTAGCTTGGGAAAAATCACAACTTATCGCCATAACATTCCATTTGCCTGCTTTCTCTTCCTAGCACATTTCTGGGACCTGGGCAGAGAATCATATCCCTCACTGCACAGACCCCAGATAATCCCAGTGGAGGCTAGGGGAACTGATGAAGGAAGAGGAGGAAACCTGTATTTCAACAGGAGGTAAGCAGCATGAAAAATAAAAGGAAAATCAACAAAGTATTTTTAAGGTAAGCATAAGCATTTTGCATAATAAGACTGTCTATCTGAGATTAAGATCTTTCTTAGACTAAAACAAAAGTCACTAATGAATATCCTTTTGTACCTCAAAATCATGACCCCCCCGAGAAGTCTTTCCTTTGTTCATCATCCAAGAAACAGCTTTTCAGTCTAATAACAATATGAATCAATACTAGCTAATGTGGTGAGTTTCTTAGTAACTCTCAAACCATCCAGCCAGGAAGAGGTTCTGAGTAAACAACTGACATCAGATAGAAAAAGTTGAGTTACCTTTATTCCTCTTACCCCATCAAGCGCATGAATGAGACCCCCTACTTATTTTATTTTACAATTGCTCGACCAACTTCTAAAACAGATTTTTACACTGTATGTATTTCTTCTCTTTAACCATTCATTTTCTTAAAGGCAATGCTATCTGTCACTTCAAAAGACCAACCATTTGCCCCCTAACACATTAAATCGTTGATTTAGGCCTCTTAACAGCACAAATGGAATGTTCTTTCTATGATATGGTAGCAAAACTGGAAACCAGGTTAAGTCATATATGAGCTGTAAATCCTGCAATTCTACAGACTTTTGGTGAGAAGAAAAATAATGCAAAGACATTAGCAAGGGAAAACATGGCTAAGGTTTTAAATCATTTTCATTTACAAGGAAACTAACCACCTAAAACCACATCAGGGAAGGCCAGACAGAGATAGAATGAAATTTATAACCAGAAACATTTAACATGAAGTCATTGTACTCACTGTCTGATGGCTTCTGTCACAGTAGCGCAGACCAAAATAATCTATCTCCACAAGGTTTATGTGACGGAATACGTGGTCAAGGACAACAGAACCTTTCGTTGACTTCTGCAAAAATAATTCATAGTTTTACTTTTTTTTAAAAAAGGTGTTTTGTCTTTCTCAGTGGGACACAGTCAGAGGCTCTCATTTTTTATTAGCTCTGCTCACAACAGGAGCAATTTTATTAGCTCATAGTTCCCTCTGTAAGTTTTGCCTTAGTTACAATGAAAAACGGGGTTTTAAGTAAAGTGCATTAAAGAAATTGCTTTGGAAAGCAATCTTGAAATTGTAGTGGGTTTTAAATTAGTATAAACTTCTTTGCTTATGGGACTGTAAATTATCTTCAGGACAAAACTCTTTTAATAAAGATAATCTTTTATATAAAGAGCATCTAATAAATTCATCAAAAAACACTTATTTTGGTTAAAATCCCACAATTCTTTCACTTTAAAGAGCACTCTTCAACTACAGCATTACTCTCCCAACTAATACAAAAGATATATAAAATTAAAATAACAATAGCCAAACCTATTATTTTCTATCCTCAATTAATAAACGCACAACAATGTCCAAGTTAATGTTCTGAAAAGCCCCAGCTAAGATATTTTTACTGAATCTCTTTCACATAAGCAAATACATACGGAAAACATTTCCTTTGGCTGCTTTGTTAAATGCCGACACCTATCTAAAAATCTAATCTCTCTTCTCCCCCACTCACCCACTACATACACAGATTCCTTAAATTATGACTCTTAACATCTAATTTATTAAATACTAATTATTCACACATATGAGATAAACATTTAATCAGCAAGCACTATTCCACATACCACATTAATCTTGAAAATAATCCATTTTGATGGTATATGTACAGATACAGACATTTCCTTTCTTTTGTCTCAACATTGGCAGATACAACAGGATAGTAAGAGAAATCCCCAAGAGGTCACACATCATGTTAATGAAGTAGGGCTTTGTTCAGTTGCATTTTCTCTCAGAGAATTTCCAATACACGCTTACTGCTGTAGGGTGAGCACTCAATACTGCCCTGCTTTTAGAAAATGAATTTGTAATGTACAGGAAATGTTTTGATTAAATGTACAATTAAATGAGTGATAAGAGGTGAGAAAGCACACCCTGGGAGAAAATGATTCTTCAAATCCCATAGGTATTTTGTTTTCCTCTAACTTATCTTGGTTCAACTTAATTGGTCCCTTTTGCAAAACCCATGAGTTTATAAACAGAAAGCCCTTCTATGATAGATCTTTAGGTTGTTGGCCTACTAACAATGACACATCCAGTAAATGCCCCTTGGTGCTCATGTACCTATGTCTTCAGCTAGGGTAAAAATTTGGAAGTAAATTACTCATTCAAAGGACATGCATACTTAAAATTACAATAGGCACTGCCAAAAGGCCATTACAATTCATTCGATGAGACTATGTTTTCTCACACCCTTGCCAACAAGATTGGAGCAAACTTTTTCCAATCTGATTGAACAAAAAAGTGGGAAGGACTAATTCCTCTATCATGTGCTTAGTAATCAATGGCATTTCCTAACATTTGGGTTAGGCATTCTTTTTTTTTTTTTTTTCAATTTATTTTTAGCTGAGCCATCCTGCCACCTGTTGGCAGCTCAGCTCGAGCTGGGAATTGAACCGGCAACCCTGTTGCTCAGAGCTCACACTCTTGAGTGAGCTCTTAACCAACTGAGCCACTTGGCTGGCCCCCTGGGCTAGACATTCTTTAACCCAAAGTTTATGAGCAAATTCTACTAAGTACTTCTAATACAATGTAGTATACTTAGCTCTTCACTCTATCTGGAAATTATTTTTGTGCTGTGATAAGGGCCTTACTTTGTTTCAAAAGGATAGGCAACTGCACTACCGTTTACCAGAAAGGCTATCATTGCCTTTGGATTTGAAACAACTTTATCATCTACTAAATGAACCGTCATTCTATCCCATGGATTCTTCCTGGACCAATCCTTGAAGGCTTTAATGAGCTTAGATTGATTTGTTGATATCCATCATTCTTTCCCAAAATTGTCTTTGCCAATTCTTAGACATTTTTCTCTAGTAGAGGAAATTTAGAACCATCTTGCCAATTTAATAAACAGTTCTGTTGGGAATCTGACTCGAATTCAATTTAACTAACAGACTTGGGGGGGGGATGATATATTTACAAACTGAAACCTATATGGTTTTCTTTTATGTCCATCAAAGAAATTTTATGCTTTTTCTCATGTAAGTCTTATAAAATTTTACTTGGGCTTTGTGGCAGGCACAATTTACAAAACGTCCCCCACTCCAAAAATACATCCTGCTCTAATCCTTGGAACTTGTGAGTATGATGAAATATCACTCCTGTGATTGTGATATGTTATATGTCACAGTTGGCCTTAACATAGGGAGAGTATTGAAGTAAGATTTGATCTAATCACCTGTGTCTTTACAAGCAAAACACTTTCTCCAGCAAAAGAGAAAGTCAGAGGGGAAGTAAAAGATATCCAAAGCATGAGAACAACTGCACAGGTTCCTGCCACTTGAAAGATGGAGGGGGCCATCTGAGAAAGCAATGAGAACAGCCTAAAGGAGCTGAGAGTGGGCCCCAGCTGACAGCCAGTAAGAAAATGGGAACTTAAGTCCCACAGCCACAAGGATGGGGATTTGCTAACAATGTGTGCAAGTCTGGATATGGATTTGTCCCCAGAGCCTTCAGCTAAAAGCCCAGCCACCAACATCTTGATTTCAGCCTTGTGAGACTGAGCAGGAACCCAGCCATGCCATCCTAGACTTCTGACCTACAGAATGGTGAGATAAAAAATGGGGGTATAGGGCTGGCCGAGTGGCTCATTGGCTAAGAGTTGGCTTGGAAGCACACGCTCTGAGCAGCAGGGTCACCGGTTCGAATCCACATAGGCCAGTGACGCTGCGCCCTCTACAGCTAAGATAGTGAACAACAGCTTAACCTGGAGCTGGGCTGCCATGAGTACCTGGCAACGGCATAGGCTGCAGTGGAGCTGCAGTGGGCTGCTATTAGCTACCGTGAGGGGCCAGCATGAGCTGCCATGAGCAGCCGTCGAATGGCTGGCGACAGATCTGCCTCAGCTGGGAAGAGAGCAATGACCACAATACCAACATGAGCCAGTGAAGAGACGTCTTCCACAATTATACTGAAGAACAAAAGGACAGCAACTTGTCTGTTCCCCTTCCCTGATTCCCCAATGCTGTTTCCTCCCCCAATTCCCCAATAAAATCTTTAAAAAAAAAAGGGGGAATATATTTAAGCCACTAATTTGTGATAATTTGTTATGCAGCAATAGAAAACTAATACAGGCTTATTCTTAGTTATTTTATAGCTGTATTGATATATTATACTTTCTGAATGGCTACTGCTAACGTATTGGTAAGCAACTGATTTTTCTACTGCAGTCATCTTGCTAAACTCATATTAATGAAAAGAGTTTGTGGAGTCTTTTCATATAACCACATTTTCAACAGAGTAAGTGTTCGAGTTCTTTCTCTCCAAAATGCCTCCTCCATATTTCTTTGTTTTTCTTACTGCATTGACTGGGGTCTCAATAAAAGGATGACTGAGCATTGTGAGAACATCCATCCTTCTCCTCTTACTGACTTTAATGGAATTGCTTCAAAAATTTCATCACTGAGTATAATGGCTGCTCTACAGCCCTTTGTATATACCCTTTATCAAAGAGAAGGTTCCTTTCATTCCTGCTTTCTGGTCTTTTTATTTTATTCTGTTTTGATTTTTTAATCGAGAATGAATGATCATTTTATCAACTTCTTTATGGGAGCCTGAGATGATTATGAGATTTCTGTTCTTTCATTTGTGTTATATTAAGAGTTTCTGATGTTAACTATTCTTAATAGAGAATTTCCCAGTTGAGTTCTTTTGTTCTGGGTGTATAACACCAAGCCACCTCCCTATCTGGAGAGGATGTCCCACTATGTGAGTCTTGGTAGAGGCAGGAGCCAGGCTGTAACACCTGGCAGCTGGGCCACGGCACATGATCTAGTTTTAGCTAAGGACTTTGACTTCTGAGTAAGTGATGCAAAGATGAAGTAAGAGTTAGGAATTCGCTCATCTAGAGACAGAATCAACTGTAACAAGAAGTAACAGTGTCCCATTCCTAAGCTGGGTTTCCCAGCATTCTTGAAGTATAATACTAAATAGGAACAGCCAGGAACTCCACCAGCCTCCTTGCCCTGTGACAGCAGTGAATATGTATGTTTGGGTCCAAGAACCACGCCAGGGTCCTAAGTAAAAATCCTGAGTAAGAGTATAGGAAATTGAGTATACAGCTGTATACTAAAAATGTCATGACTACAAAGACTTTATCATAGGTATGTGAGTGCATCAAGCAGAGTTCTTGGTCGCAAACAATAATAGTTGACTCTTGCTAAGCAACCAGGAAAGGCATTTACTGAAAAGACACTGCTGTTTCACAAGTTGTACAGACATCGCCCGGATGGTTGCTTAGGTCTTCTCTTATCCCAGTACATCCACAGTCACTAAATTCAGAGCAATCCTTACTCCATCACTATCTCCTTCCACAGTTCTCCTGCAATTGTTTCACTTTTGCCTTTTGCTTCAGGAATTTTTTTTAATAGTTTCTGGCCAGCTGAGATTAACGTTTTGTATTTTCCAAGCTGTTGTGGAAAAATGCACACATATCTTTCCTGTTACTTCAAAATATTTCTGGAAGGCTGGCATATGAGGCTAGTATTCCATCTTGATCTAATCTCTCGTCTGGGTCCTCTCTCCTAGTCAGGCACAGACAAGAACAGACAGGGTAGCTATAACTAGGACAGGTAGAACCACACAACTCCAACATAATTCTCCTATCCCAAGCAGATAAAGAAGTGCTTCATGAACAAAAAAAGAATGAATTGTCCTTATGGGGGCAGATTTAAATGGAATATATATATATATATATATATATATATATACACATACATACATATACACACACACACACACACACACACAGAGATAGAGAAATTGAGATATATATAGATATAGATATAGATATAGATATAGAT